CGGGTTTGTCGGGTTTTTTTGCCATCCCTAACCATACAATGCATTCCGGGATAAGATTTCATACAACTTGCTATCCTTATCACGAAGTTTCCTCCTTCATGCCCGCAACACGTCCTCTATACGTCTAGGCAACACCATGGTTTAAGAAGGCGGTAGTGAGGCTCGCCTTGAGGCCCGCCTCACTGTTAGGTGCATGTAGTATGCCTCGAGACGGTATTTTTGAGGTTAAAAATCTGAGACTCACGCCTCTAAATCTGAGGCACACGCTTCAAGGCGAGCGCCTCATTTAAAATTTGATTTTCAATTGTATGAAAAGAAATTAGAAAGGGCCCTTCTTAAAAAAGAAAAAAACTCATTTAAAAAGGCATTTTGGGTCCAAACAAAACAATAAAATACCTAGAAAACTAAACGGCAACCAGAAATTAGAGGACCAAAAATGAAACAGATTCAACAAAAATTCAAAAGTCAGAATTTAAGAAGAGTATCTTCTTCATCAGTTCATCAGGTATGTTTTTCTTCTTTTCTTTTTCTTTTTCTTCTTAGGATTCAATAAATCTTGCATTCAATTAGTTGCTTCATATACACATCTGGATATTATAAATTTTATAAATATTTTGATTTATATAATTAACACTATTTCATCCAATCATTTGTATAAACTCTAAAACTAGATGATGATTTTGTAGAAATTGAGAGTAGCAAAGAGGAAGAGGATGGGGAAATTAGATATGATGATGATTCCATTAACGATGCTAGTAATAGTGATGATAGTGCAGATTATTAGAGTTTTTTTTTAGTTTAAACTGCTTCTTTTTTCCATTGCAAATGGAGTGATTTCTAACTTCTGTAATGCTTTTTATTTTGCTAAACATCTTCTTTCTTTAGGTGGACTATATCTCAATATGCTAATAATATATCATATTTACTATATGCTCTCAACTTTTTTTTTTTGTATTTTTGTATTATTTTATAATTATTTTACTTAGTTTTTTTGCTTTTTGTGAGGTTTACGCCTCAATCCGCCTCGAAGCTTACGCCTAGCCTCATAAAGAAAAATCGCGTCGGTACTTAGTTTCGCCTTTTTAAACCTTGGGCAACACCCAATCTATATGTTGAGAAGTCAAAATACTATTCCACAGCTAACGGACACCGTCACAGTGAATGAACAAGTGGTCATGCGTCTCCCCATCGTTCCTACACATATAGCACCACTTGATAACATAAAAGCCTTTTTTTCAGAGATTATCCATCGTTAATGCCTGTCCCCTCACAACCGTCAGCAGTAAAAATGCCACCCGTGGGGACAATTTGCAATGTCACACCATCATCCAGGGGAATGAACTCTCCACAAGTCCCAAGAGAGATCTAAAATAAGAGCGAACTGAAAAAATATCATTTCGTGTCAGCCTCCATCGACTACGATCATCCTATCCTATCCGAATTTGCACATCGTACAAATCCGTTAGAAACAATGCATAGTCATCCAATTTCCAATCCTGCAACCCCCTCTGAAAAGTGATATTCCAACTGTAACTCCCATTGTGGATGGCTAAAACTTCATTCACCATAGCAGAAGGTATCATAGTAATCCAATGCAAGGAAGAAAACCCCAACTTTAGCGGTATATCTCCACACCAACAATCATCTCAAAATCTGATATTATTATCATTCCTCACCACAAAAGTCAAGCTATTCTGAAAGTCGTTTCATCCTCGTCGAATATACCTCCATAGACTCATCACGTAAGACCCACGAACCTCACCCGAACACCATCCCCCCTCTATCACGCCATACTTCGCCCCAATGATTTCTCTCCAGAAACTCTCCCTTTCCATACCAAACCGCCGCAGTCATTTGCCTAATAATGTCTTATTAAACAAAGTAAGATTTCTCAATCCGAGACTCCCCATCCTCATAGGAGAGCAGACAACTCTCCATTTAACAAAATGAAGTTTCCTCTCCTCTCCTAATTCTGCCCAAAGAAATTTCCATTTAATCCTCACTAATCTATTAGCCACTGCAGCAGGAATGGGAAACAGTGACATATAATAAGTAGGGATATTTGATAGAGTAGATTTAACGAAAGTAAGACGGTCACCATTCGAGAGATACATACGCTTCTACCCCGCTAATCTCCTTTCCACCTTCTCCACAATAGCATTCCAAATATTAATACTTTTAAACCACGCCCCTAAAGGGAGTCCAAGATATGACATAGGTAAATGTGCAACCATACAACTCAATGTAATATCTAGTTCCTCCACATTAGTGACCTTCCCTACTGGAATAACCTCAGATTTCCCGAGATTAACCTTCAACCCTGACACCGTTTCAAAGCATAAGAGCAACATGCGTAAATTCATGACTTGCTCCTCAATCGCGTCACAAAAAATCAGCGTGTCATCTGCAAATAACAAGTGGGACACTTGCAGTTGACCAACCGTAAATCCCGTAAGCAGATTCTCCCGCCTCGCTTTCTCGAATATCTTACTGAGGGTCTCCATTACAATAACAAACAGTAATGGAGACAATGGATCTCCTTGCCTCAACCCTCTGCTACTCCCGAAGTAACTCTCGGGGGTACCGTCGATCAAAATTGAAAATGAAACAGTAGAAATACAGAATTGAATCTACTTACACTACTTATCCCCAAATCGACATTTCATAAGCATATATAGAAGGAACCTCCAGTTCATGTGATTATAAGTCTTCTGAATATGAGCTTGCAGAGAAATTTTCAAAGGATATATAAACTAATGCTGGTGTTATGAACAAGTCCAATGGATTCGGAAGTTGGATGATGAGGACAAAGATGGGAAGTGGGTGGATAGAGAAAAGATTTAAAGTGGGTATCTGCCAAGGGTGAAAACTCAGTGGTTTCATGAACGGAAAGACATAACAAAACTTATGTGACATGAGAAGTCAACGTACTTTTTACTTTCTAATAGCTACTGGCCCTTTTTGGGTAACTGAAACTAGGGAGGTGGTGTACTAGCGTTATAGCAAATACTTGTCTGGTAGATATCTGTTGGGCTCATGCTTGCCTACTTTTTCTCAAGGTCAACGTAGAAAATTTAAGTAACTACTTAGCATTTAGGCTATCCTTGTGCATAAGATTTTTATTTTTTTCCCCATAAGTTTAGCACATGAACTCTTGATTGGGTTGGCTAAAATTTGTTATGTGTTTCATTCTCAAACTGTGCTTGTTACTGGGAATTGATGAAATCTTCATTCTCTTTGATACATCACCTTCATTGATTACTAGGTGGGGGTTGCTGAACTTAAAGTTGCTGTTGAGAAAACAGGAGGCCTTCTTGTTCTTGCTGAAAGTTTTGGCCATTCTGTTTTCAAGGAATCATTGAGACGTGTTTTTCAGTCTGGTGACCACAATCTGGGACTGTCATCAAAGTAAGGTTTGGATTGACTTTTTTGTTTTTTTTTCTCGTGCTACAATTTTATAGAATTACCTTTACTTTGTATTTCTTCACTCTTTAAAATATTTATCTCAACTTAAAATGGTCTTGAGAGTCCTGAAAGGTTTCTAGTTGACTTAGTGCCCTAATATTTTAACATTGTAGAATGTCACTTACTTTATACACACAATCATGATAATTTTGTAGATTGTGCATGGTTCCTTTTTGCTTCCAGTTTAATGAGAAGTGATTTCTTTTCAACTTCCTTGTTTCCTCGTGCCTACAAAGATTAAAAAAAAAAAAAAAAAGTTCTGAAGATTCATGTGATAAGACATGACCAAGTTTTATGAGGTACTTCAACCTCTGGTGACCCTCTTTCTTTGTCCAGACTTGGACCAGCTGTGTAGAAGTATAGGCAGATTAAAAAACATTTTCACCAGTTTAGAATAATGACAACAGATTACTGGAAATAAATATATTGAGTTACAAACTAGGTGATTTAATGTCTGTAGACAAGAAAGCTTACAATGAAAGGGACAATAATGGTTCAATTTTTTGTGGGAAAACTACGATAAGAATCTGGAGGGAATGAAAATAGATTTGGATCGACCTCTGGATATCCTTCACTCCGAGATAGAGCAGTTATTGTTTATTGATATGACCAGAGAGGGCACAATCCCTGGGGCAGATTTTTGTGAGAGTTGCTTTGGGCTAGACTTGGAAGAGATGAACTTATTTGAAACCTTTGAGTGATCTCCTATAGAGCGATGATGACAAGAAGGAGAGGAGTTTCTTATTTGTATCGCAAACATAAAAAATCGTAGAATGACAAAGAAGTTGGAAACAAGAAAAGATAGGGATGCGAAGGAGTTGAAGACGGGTGGGAGATCAAATAATTTCATTGGCTTTTGTTCAATTTTTTAGATGATAATACTTGAAACTACACAAGCAATAGTAGATGTAGATTTTGGTGAAAGCAGGCACTGCTTCAAACTGTGGCAGAGGATACAATGCAATTGAACGAGTTCTCAAAAGTTAAGGTGTCCCATTTTTATCTATGGCCATTTTCATCGCTAAACTCAAGTATGAAAGATTATGTAAATTTTAGTAACTTTACTGTATTTTGAGTTACTTCATAGATTTCACTGGCAACTGAACTGCGAAGCGAAACCAGTTTTGTTACAGAAATGATTTCTTCATAACCACTATTGCTTGTATCAGTCTTACACTGGTCCTAAAGTTGGATAGCGAAGTAGACCCCTTAAAAGCTCACTAGACATTTAAGCTTTGGGACTAGATGTGTTGAACTCCAAGCAATTTTCAGTTTTCTTGTAGTTAATAAAGCACATGCTCACACACGAAAGTCTTGTGTTCTTACATATGGGGCCAAGGTACTAGCGTGGCACTTTGGATTAACACATTACTCAATCAAATTTTGTGACTCATCCGTGGTTATTTTGCATGTGCAAGTGCTGAATAATGTTTTAATCCTAATATTCTGTTGGATATATTGAAAATTAAATTTAAGAACACAAAGTCCATCTTTTCTTGTAACACTAATGAAAACTATTTTATATCTGTCCTTGTGAATTCTCTGTAGCCAAGGAATTTATAATTAATTCACTAAATGTCCACCCAATATTTCAATATCCATCTTTACTACTACCCACATACTTAAAGAAAACCATCACATAATATAAATCTATGTTTTCCTTATCTAGCATATCACTTCTCTTCAGGTTCAAAGACTAGCATTATTTTTCATTTTTTTTAAATTGCAATTTTATGACATGGTAAACCCTTCATTGTAACACAGAGATCTAGTTAGACTACTTGGCGTCTAATTTCGTACGCTGGATGATTCTGCCATCTATGTTAATACATGCATGGGCATAACATGTGCAGAGAATGAATAGTAACTGGAATTTATACCATCTAAAAGGGACAAGTAATTAATTCGGGAATGTAAACTACAGAAGATGTTTAGTGCATCTAGAAATATATGTAAATTTATCAATTTAGCAAGAGATGATTCAATTGGATGTTTTCTCAATAATTTTAAATTTGCGATCCTTCAATAAAACTGTCAGAAAAGTAATCTAATGCCACTTTTATTAAATTAGGTAACAAGGTATGACCTCGAGTATAGGCCATTGTTTGATTTTGATTTTTTGAGAAGTGATTTTGTTGGAGACCATGTGGTTAAATGTTAGGGAAAAGTTAAAGGTTCACGTGCAAAATTATTTTTATTGGGAGAATAAGTGGTTGAAAATGAGTTTGAGAGAGTAATTTTGAAAAAATAAAGTTTCCATTCTTGCACCATTCAGTTATATTACATCGTTATTCGTTTGTCAATATATAGACCTGCAAGTTCTTATTTCTGCCTCAGCAAGATTAACAATGGTCACACCCAAGTTCCCATCAGATGATTTAAGAGAGAAATGAACATTTATTTTAATGCCTCCACATACTATCTGCTTGAAATTCTACGTTGCTCTTTTTCTAACATTGGAGACCAAGTTTTCGTTTGAAGCTCCCTTGCCTGAAGTGCGTAGTTGATATGCTGCATCCTCCATCAAAAATCATTGTTTATAATAGATGTATTATCGTGGATTTATGATATTTCATCGACACTTTTTGTACAAGTTTTATTATGACATGAATATATGGACAATTATTTGGTCACAGTATGTTAATGCTTTTTGCTTCTGAAATTGTCGGGAATACTACCTTCTCAACGTGTATTTCTTCTTTCCTAAGTCTGGTGAATATTGCCCTTAAGCTCAACTAGCATTTAGTTATCTGGATATCTAATTACTATATACAGAAATGGTTAGACAGATGCTTGATGAATCTTATATAACTTCGTGGTTCATCTAGTGTGCAAAGATTGATCAAGTCAGGAGGCATGTGTTACTCTCGATTATTTTGTTATTATTATACCATGTAAGGTTCTCTAATACATTTACTGTATGCAGTGGTATATTTGAGATTAGTTGCTCAAAGGATATCAAAATTCAGGGAATTATTGGCCCATGTGCATCACTTGAAAAGGTATAACCTTTAACTTTTGAAGGATTTTCCAAATCTGCATCAGGCAGATGTTTATAAATTGTGGGCTTGTGCAGAAAGGTCCTCTGTGCTCTGAAACTGTAATTGGGCAGGGAAATACCACTGCATGGAAGATGTGCGGCCTTGACAAAACTACTTCCTTGTGTTTAATATTTGATGTTGTCAAGAAAGAGTGCTCAGATGCTATTGCTCAATCAGAAAACAACCAGTTCTACTTTCAGTTTTTGACTTAGTAAGCATATATTGATAAATTATAAGCAAGCAGCCTGTTCTGCTTTTCTATATGGAACTTCTCTAATTTTTGAAAACATTCTTCTCCAGTTATCAGCATGGCAGCGGACAAATGAGACTTCGTGCGACTACTCTCTCCAGAAGATGGATCGCTGGACCTGGAAGCAAAGAAGTAAGGGTTATTGTTCTTTCCATTTTTGTGCGAGTACTGTGTTGGGGGTGGGGGGTACGTCATCAGTATCACTACACTGCATTCAAGTCAACCAAATGTTCACCCTGATCAAAATAAATATGTCCATCTAGAGGAGTAATTTGTATGATCTAATTTATATGCAGTAAACGGAACGCTTAGAAGTTCCTTCTAGTAACCAGATCAACACCCCTCCTCTTCCATGGCCCCATAAAGGAAAAGAGAGACAATATCTCCTTGGATGCAGGAAGTTTTTAAACACATCCACATAGAACTGTGATCTATACTTTTGACCAAGAAGTTAACTATCTCCTCTGCTGGTACTTTTTTGCGGGCAAGGCATATACTGTGATACAGTAACAAATCGGGAAGGAGAACACAAGGTTTAGCATAACATGGGTTGATGTCCTGGGAAATGGAATACGGCCACGGCAATTAGTTTCTTTTGATATTTCCTCAATTCCCTGATACTAGCTTCCCACCACGTTCCTTATTTGGTCCACTTGAGTGGCACAGTGAAGGACTGCTGGTCTGGAAAATGGGGAGGAAAGACAGGCTTATATACACATGCAAGGGAAAAATTAATTCCCAGAATTTTTATTTTTGTACACTATCAAAAACTTCTTCATATTTGTTCCCTTCTTCCGAGGTGTATTAAAATTCTGCGATTCTTTCTATTCACTACTGAATATGGCTGACTATGTCTCTTGGATTCTTCTGTAGGAACTAATTTCTGGATTTGACCAAGAAGCAGCTGCTGTAGTCATGGCACGTCAAGTTTCTTTCAAAATGGAAAACGAGGTTGTATGCTGATGCTTTTTATGCTTGGTTGCAAGGAAACTTGTTTGTTTATGTTGTGCTTGAGCAAGGAAAATGTTAGTAGAATTTTGTTGTCTATTTTGGTCTTAGTAATTGTTTGCGGAACCATTTGACATTTCCATAGCATAAGGTGACCTTTGAAGAAGCTGATTACAATTTCTTTATTGCCTTTGTCTATGTACTGTCTTGATTCGTAACATTGTACAGACTTTGAGGATCGAATTTGCCAGCTGATAATTGGGTTAAGATTTTAAAATTTGCTAGTTTGGATTTTTAGGTTATCATGTTTCTACTTTTCTGCAATCCATGGAGAGACTCATCATGTAAGATACATATAAACTTGATGATTAGGTATTGCATTTGAACTTGAACATGCTTTTATCCTTTATATGATGATTTTATGCTAATTCATTTGCAGACATCTTTCATATAAAATGTATTTTCTGCAAAACGTCTTCTTGGATATATGTTAGTTCCAGTCTCAGCAACTATTGAGGCTGAAGCGTGGTCGCTATCAACTCCGAAATTTAGACGAAACATTGTAACAAGTATTGACAAATATATCAGTTCTCTAATAATGTCTAGTGTTGTAGACTCCAATGGTGTTCATTATGTGAAGTTACAAGAAATAGATGCCTTTTTTTTTGGTTATAATTTCAATTACGTGGTATATACAAACTTAATGCACAATAATTGGCCCTTCTCCTTGGCTTTTGACATTTGCCAAGTTTTTTACATTGGTTCCACCATGAAAGATTTCCTTATCCATGTTTGATATTCCTTGCAGGCTGAATTTGACCCCATAAGATGGTTGGATAAGTCATTGATTCATATATGTTCTCGGTTTGGGGAGTACCAGAAGGATGCCCCATCTTCTTTCACCTTATCTCCTAGATTTTCAATATTTCCTCAGTTCATGTTTAATTTACGACGTTCGCAGTTTGTCCAGGTACACGATAATCTTCTTTATACGTATAAATTGTACCTTGTGCACATTTTAATGTGGCAGAAGAGAATTTTGTTAGAGAGAAATAAAGAGTATGAAAAAGGAAGATAAAATATTATCTACTGCTAAAACTGGAAAAAAATGCATGTAGTGTTTAATTACAAAAGCCACCCAGCTCTTTTGTGAGCCTATCAAAGCTTACCCAGTGGAACCTCCAAAAAGATGCAAAGAAAAATATTCTATGCCTATAAACGCAATGAAAAGAAGGTTGCTTGCAATTGCATGTTGGCATGTATGTAAATAATTGAGGTTTCATAAATATTATGTTGTCTCATAAGTATACGAGAAACTAGGCAACAGGAATCATCAATCCAAATAGAGTCTCAAGAATTGATCGAAAATTGAGAACGCTAAAGCTTCATTTATGGTCAAAGATTCAGCTGTATAAAGACCCAGGCCTCATGACCATTATATCATACGTACTGTCCGCTTTGGTAGGGTCTCTGCCCTCTTATATCTCACAGATTTGTATTGCGTCTATTTCTAGAATTTGAATCCAAGACCTCCACCTTATGAGAGATATAAGTTGAATCCTGGTATCAACAACTTGTAATTTATTTATCTTGTATTTTTATTTGTATGAAATATTGCTGCCCTTATAATTTTTGATTTCCAAAGAAAGCAGAAGTTACCAAGATACTAACGTTCCAAATCCTATGAACTTGATTAGTGGAAAATTAACAATTAGACAGATGGACAATTACGTATCAAGATTATGCCTCCCTATTTCACAGAAGATTGAAAGTTCTGAGACAGAGATAGAACATCGCTAGTGTAAAAATATTTGAGATATATGCATTAAGGAAAGATACATAAATGTAAGGGGAAACAGAGCATACAGAGATAGAACATCGCTAGTGTAAAAATATTTGAGATATATGCATTAAGGAAAGATACATAAATGTAAGGGGAAACAGAGCATCTACCTGCTAACAGATTCCTTTTGCACATTTACCTCATGTATTGTGGCATTGTTCAATTCAGCTTTACAACTATAAACTGTAAAATCTTATTTCTCGAGTTTAAATTTTGACTTTTTCTGATACAGGTCTTTAACAACAGCCCAGATGAGACGGCACATTTTCGAATGATTCTTAACAGAGAAAATGTTGCTAATTCAGTTATGTAAAAACTAATAGCACTTGCATAACCTTATCTTCATGATACGTTTGAAGTATAAATCATCAACAGTAAACCAACACAAAATAAAAAGATGACAGGAAGACATGCCTAGTATCAAGCATTAATTTGTAAAGAATAAAGATTGATTTTGTAAAGGTATTGGGTAATATTTTATCACAAAAGTAAAAATAAAAATGGAAATGGAAGGGTAATGGTACCATCCTAAACTCCGCATTAACTTTGTTAATTCTTATTGTTTGCGACTGGTAGACTTTTTTGTGAGAAATAGCTAAATAGAACCTTAAAACTCTTTGCAGTTTATAAAGCTGTTTCAGTTTTGGTGATGTACATGGTTGCAACCTCTAGGGGAATATTGCTCTCTCATTAAGATAATAAATAATGTGAATGATACTATCAAAAATGGTCTCTTACTCTTGTCCTTGATTATGTAAAAGATCAAGATTAAAAGATAACTTATCTTTTACTGTTGGACAAGGAAATTTTTATTCTCCAGATTAATGATTTTCGTTTGAGTTTTTCTGAATTTTTAGAATGACTTAGATCCTGAGTATAACTATAGAACCATGTATAAACTAGAGTGTAAATCAGAAAAAGCAATTCAAATACGTTAAAGTCAATTATTGTCAAAAGACGCAAATTGTGCAAACCAGTGGGAAAGAAGCATACTTATGAAGTGAAAAAACAAAAATAATATTGTTTATTTTCATTTTCTTACCGTTTATTATGATTTTTGGATCTTTTCACCTTTGTAAGCCATCTTATAATATTGGTTTTTTGTTCTTATGCTTGTTCTGGAAGCTTGGCTATAAATGTATTTTGATGTAAATGGACTGCACCCCTATATGACGAAGTAAGAACTAAAACTTTTAGTTGAATATTAACTAGCATTCCGGGATATTTATAATTATTCAGCCTGCTATTGTTTTTTAATTTATTTTAGATGCATAACTCCAAGTATTGACTATATCTGTTTATTATGTTTATTTATTGTGTACTTCGAACAAAGTTGAGAAACCCTCAAGTATTGGTTTTATATCAAATTTCTACTCTAGTATAGAAATATTGAGCCTATACTGATTATAGCTGTTCATTATGTGTATTATGTACTTTGACCAAAATCGAGAAACCCTCAAGAACTGATAACAATTCTGATTTGTTTTGGAATTGTGATCACAAATTTCTGTTGAATAATCAATGAATCTGTTAAAATCTTTTAAATTTATTCTTGTAATGCATAATATGAAACTATCCGTAAAGCAATATTGGGGAGATTATCAAACCCTCAGTACGTATAAAACATGAGCACATTTTATTCTGTTAACAAAATCCACTCTCCTCCCTTCCCCAACACAAAGTTATCATGAATGACCACAATCAGGAGGCTTTGTTGGTCTGGAGGGAAGCTTGTGGACATCTCAATAAATTAACCATATCGGTTAGGCAGCTACATCCATTCATGAAGGTGGTGCTTTAATTTATCCAAGTCAAATAACTGACTGGTTTCTGGATGGATGAACTTGATTAGCTTGTCTGGGGAAGATCTGCCACTATAAATTTGCATCTGAGCTTAACTTGATGGGTGCAATTCAATTGTTTACTATCCTTGCAGGCGTTCACTCAATTGTTGCAAGCTCCACGAGAAGATGCAGATGCAATAATTAAAGAAAGATTTCCAGTACCTCGATTAGTAATTTGTGATCAGCATGGTTCTCAGGTCTTTATTCTATATTTCCACAAATGTGTATTGGGCATAATCTACATCTTGTTTACATTTACACCTTACTAATTGTGACATGCAACTAGCCATCAGGGAGTCACTGCAACTGGCCGGACTAAAATATTTATTGCTTTCTCTTCTTTTTTCTTTTTGCATGCTTAGAAGTTGTTTTGGAATTCATAACTCGTAAATCTTTGATTCTAGGAAATTGTTTGAGACAGGTCTATTTGAATTTGTTTGATGTTCAAATCCCTTTGGCTTTAAATGACCTGTTAGTTTTGTGGAAGGTATGCATCTTGTTTATGATGGAATCACTGGGAAACTAGTATACTGGTCGTAGAATGGTGGTCTCATTATGGAGTTCTTGTTGCAGTCTCTTATGTCTTAACAAATGATTAGTACAGTCATCTCTTATGAATCCATGCCTTCTTTGGTTTTAGTTACCAGAAAACCCCTATGCTTTAAGTGGAACTTGTAATACTTTATTGTCATTTAGAAGAGGCTTGTACCTTAAGTTCAAATACTTATTAGAATAGCATGCACTAGTGAGATCTCTCGTACTTCTCTCTCTGCCCGTCAGAGATTGCCGAACTTTACCTTCAGTTCAAATTCCTCTCACCATCGTATGAAACATTCTTCTCTGCTTTTGCCTTTCGTATTTCCTCCACTCCCCGTTCCTCCCTTCTCCACAACATAAAAATGACTTTAAAATCAATTATTTACACATACAGTTCCTACAAGGCATTTAACAGTTTGATGTGGTACCATAGTGGAGCAGAAACCAAGATATTTATCTGCAACAATTCTAAGTTTTTTGCAAACTAGAATACCGGATGTCTTCTACATCCAAGCATTTAGATCTGAGAAATTGTAGCATTTCGATTATTTACATTTAAGGAATTGTAATGTTCAAACTTGTGATTGATGTCAAGGGATGGGATAAATTCTTTAGGTGGGGTCTTAAAGCAACAGAGGAATCAAACTACCGTTTCAGTCTTCTTCGATTTCATCACTAGACGTACATGAATGAGGAGAGTATCCTTAGAGAAACGAGAGAGAAAAAGCAGAGAATTTGAAGTTTCTTCAGTTTGATGATCAACAGTTTGGTTAACTTGTATATAAAAGAGAACTTTGTTTCTGAAACGTATGTAGAGTGAAACTTCTTTATTTATTCTCTAGGACACTTTAATTCTCTCAAAAATTGATAGAGCAAATTGAGTTGCGAGTGTTTGGGAGAGCTACAAAAAGACGTAGTATTATCACTGTTTCTGTAACTGCTTGAGGTTAATACTCTGTTTGGGTTTCATTCCATTTTACTAAAATTTTATTTTTCAAGAGATGAGTGGTGGAAAAAGTGGATCCTACGAAATGTGTGGTTAAAATTTATGTTTGACTTTGAAAAGTGACTCAAAGCAAAATGGAATGAAACCTAAAAAGAGGGCTTTAAACTTCTGGATTAGTAGAGAGAGTTAAATGACCATTTGCAAATCTTTTTGCATAAAAGTGTAACTGATCGGCTATGAGTGTATGCGTCTTCTTTTTTATTATTATTATTTTTTTGGGGTAGGCGGGTGGGGAGTTGGGGGTGTTATTGTAAACATGAATATCTTGATTTAGCATCGTGTTATGTGAAATGGTCCTCAAGTTCTATAGCAATAATAATGTAGTTTTTCTGATTAGAATGAATTATTTGCAGGCTCGTTTTTTGCTTGCAAAATTGAATCCTTCATCTACATATAACTCGGATGTTCCAGCTGTTCCTGGAGGCGATATCCTCTTTACAGATGATGTCAGCTTTGGGGTCTTCTTGGATCATCTTCAGCGGTTAGCAGTTCAATAGAATCTCTCTTACAAAATTGTCCGAGGTTAGCTTTAAGATATAGTACAACCAATTTTGTTCAAGTTGTTTCCCTGGATAATATGTAGAGTCGTGTGCAACTGGTTTTATAATCTCCTTTAAGCTCATATATTTGCAAGAAATCTTTGATTGGGATCCTAATAAAGTGAATTTTCAAGGTTTTATTTATATATATAGATAGATAGGTATTCATTTATGAGTTGATTCCTCAAGTTCTATATGCCTTTTTTTTTGTCATGAGCATAAATTCTTAGTTCTATTTAATTACTTTTGGCGGGGTGTGGATTCGTCTTATCTTACTCTTTATGTATAATTTGAGCTTGAAGAACCTGATGTTCTCGTTTGCTGAGTGTATTGCTGAATGAGTAGAATTTCGAATTCAAGGAAAACTGACCCATCCAAGCCTGGCCTGCACAATTTTCAGTCTGGCCAGGCAAACACTTTGATACCTATGTAGTTACCTGAAGAAAAAAGTGAAAAGTAGTCTAGTAAGTAGTTTCATATTCAATATTAAACCATGGCTAAATTAAGTTAAAAATAACTAAATGCACAGCTGGTTTATATAGGTTTTGACTAGATTTTGCTGCAAACTGTTGATACACAGATTCGATAATCTTGTCAGCGATAGAACTTGCATATCCGACATGGCCACAAATCTGCAATTCACGATAAAAATTTCTACTCCACGTCCACAAGATTTCTTCCTTTTTTTTTTTTGCATTCTTTATTTGGCCTGAACCTCCATATTCATTACTTCAATTTGATCACAGCAAGAACAGTTTCATGACTCCACCAACTTGAATATCGCTTTTAGATTGTTGGAAAATTTTGAGAGAGATGGATGCGGAAACTTCGATCACCAAATTGAAGAATGAAACCGAAATGGAAGATCTTGACCAAAAGATGTAGAAAATCAGAAAATGGAGGCTTGAACACGTGAAGACACAATGTTCTAAAACGATATTTGCCCACTCTAAATCTTGAGATTTCTTACGGGATTCACCTGCAAATAGCTAGAGAATTAGTCAAGCGTTAGGTGGGTTTATGATAAGCAAATACGTAAACTCACAAGAGGGACAACAACAAATTTTAGTTTCTGAATTAAGGTTTGTCAAATTTTGGAAAGATGTTTATAATCAAGATATTCAATTTCTTGGCCCCTTTCTTCGACTCAAATACATCTATATATAGATATGAAACCATATATAAACAAATGGATGTGTTTCTCCATGAGAAGAGAACTTTTCATCAAGTCAACATTCAAATTATTTTAAAATTGAACAACCCGCTCAAGTAGTGTTAACGAAACCCAAAAAGTCGGATCCTCAATTTATTAAAAAAAAAAAGGAACCAAATAATTTGATCATTAGTGCACCAACCGATGGCAGAAATTCCATATTGCTAAAGCTTTATTTTCTTAAAAATAATATCAAATCCATAAGAAGAATATATACCAAATTTTAACTTAAAATATTTGTAATGTTTACTTGCAAATTTTTTCTTTTATTTTACCTAATATTGGAGACTAAGTAAGTGATTGATATCTACTAAAACTCAACTGAATATCAAGAAAATCTCATTCGAAACTAAACCTATCCCAACAAATCCTAAACACAACAACGGCTAGTTATCTTTACTTGGTCAAATTTCAATTCGATTTCTTCATGTTTGATTGCCCATTTACATCCCACTTTGAAAGCATTTTTAGTATCCTCACGATCGAAGACGTTCTCTTTTCTTCAAGGTATGTTGTTTTCGATTTTCTAGGTATAAATTTGATGCATGTGTGTGCAACCGGTCTCTAATCTTGAATCTTGTTTCATCCATAAAGACATGTAATATCATCTCCAACTGAGATTACTCCACCTATCTCGTCCACTATTAATTAGCGAAGTGTGGTTTATTGTTGGTAGACGTGATTTTGTATATTTTGCTATTTCGTAGGTTGTATATGTCAAAGTGCGTATTTGATACGAGAGCGAAAGATGAAGTAAAATGAAATGGCGTCTAGACACGGCCTAGAATGTCCAACCTGGTAACACTGCATTCCTCATAGCTTTTTGGCCCAGCTTTTAAGTTACTTTTCGCCTTTTGACAGTAAGCACAAGGCGGAAAAAGCAGCTTTTAAGCTGGGCCAGTTAAATTGAGAGATTTCTGAAGTTTTTTCGTTTATTCAGGAGACCAAAGTCCAAATTTTCACCTGAAGTCCAGTTTCATATAAGTGGAGTACAGTTCACATTGGATGGGGTATAATTCTCCCTCAAACTACATTTTTCATTCTTGAATATATTGGATATGCAGTATGTATGGACAAGATTTGAACTTCTCGTTTTCCAGTAATGCGTGTAAAACATATTGTGACTGCTCTTCCTTCCCCAATATAATTTTTATGTCCTTCCCATTATCACTTATTTTTGTCAAACTGCTTTTCTTATGTATTGTTAGGAACTTGTGGCCACCAAATCAGCAAAACTAGCAAAGTTGTTGAAAGAGTACCCTCAAAATGATCTTTCCCGTTTATTATGTGACATCCCTGCTGATCCAGAATCATTTGAGCTTGTTGGGAGATTCTGCCATGGCTACGATATCAAATTGTCAAATGAAAACGTTGTCCGTTTTGCGTGTATTGCTCATTACCTTGGAATGACCGAAAGCCATTGTCCTAACAATCTACTAAACAAAGCCCTCAACTTCTTTGAACACCAAATTCTTCCTAATTGGCACAGTTCCATCAAAGCTCTGAAGAGTGCAGAAAATGTTCTTGAACACGCGGTGAATCTTGGCCTAGTTGATGCATGTATGGAATCTATCGTCGCAAAGGTGCAGGAAGATCCACATTTACTTGGAGATCCAATCAAGAACTTGTCTTCTGATGACGATGGTAGCGATGGAAATGAGATGGTTTATAGACCAAATGCCCGGAGGAGGCTTTTTGATCTAGAGTGGAAATCTGAGGACTTAACGGTACTCTCGTTGAGGTTTTATGAACCTGTAATTCATGAAATGATTCAACGAAAAGTCCCTCTAGAATACGTAGTAGCATCCCTTTGTCAGTATGCGAAGAAATGGGTGTTCGAAAAACAAGAGAACGGTAAGAAAGAGATAGTTGAATCTTTAGAGAGATTGATTCCTCATCAGAAAGGGATATTTCCTTGCACATTTCTGTTTGAGATGCTAAAATCTGCAGTATCACTTGATGCTAGCAGTGAATGCAAAAATGGATTAGAGATCAGAATCGGAAAACAATTAGATCAGGCAAATGTAAAAGATCTATTCATACCTACCCAAGGATACATAGAGGATGAACAGTATGATACCGAGAGTATACGAAGAATTTTGAAGAATTTCTACAGCAATTATGCCGGTCCAGATGCTTCTGGATTCATCAAAGTGGCAGAATTAGTCGATAATTTCTTGGCAGAGGTTGCTAGTGATATAGATTTGAAGATGAGCACATTCATATCGCTTGCTGATATGTCGATAGCAGTCTCAGAGGGGACAGATCGAACTTTGGATGGAGTATACAGAGCTGTTGACATATATCTAGACAAGCATAGACATCTTACAGAATCAGAAAGAGAGAAATTATGCAGGGTTTTGGATTGCAACAAAATGTCAGTTGAAGCTCGTGAACATGCAGCGCAGAATGAAAGGTTGCCATTGCGTGTGGTGGTGCAGGTTTTGTTCATAGGGCAGTTGCAGCTTCGGGACACCATCGTGAAAGTGCAAGGTTCTGACGACAGGCTCTTGAAGCTCGAGGAGGAGGAGGAAGAAGAAGAAACGAGGGCGGAAATGGAAAAGATGGGAACGAAGGTGTTGGAGCTAGAGAGAGAATGCCATATAATGAGGAGAGAGATTCAAGAAGGCAGCTGCACTAGGAAGAAACCAAGCATGTGGAAGGAAATGAAGAGAAAACTAGGGTGCATGACTAGCATGCATGATCATAACTGCCATGTCAAGAAGAAGAGGGTGCATCCAAGATAGACGCGTTATCGGATTTATGATTCTTACAACCACGGTCGACCAGTAGTACTGATTTCAATAATGTATGCCTACAATGACACTTAAGAATGTCAGCTGGGAACTAATAAGTTAATACTGTTTCCAAATATCAGCTTATTCTGTCTCTAGGATGATCTCCTGCCCATAGTGGGCAGGAACTTATTGCTGCATATATTTATTTATTTAGTGCTTGTCTGGTTCCACCTTTTCCTAGATTAAAATCAACAATATTACCGTTGGAGGAAATGGGTGGGTCCCATTTGTCTGAGAACAGGTCAACAATTGCGGGTTGTAACGTTTTAAAAATTGATTTCCTCCCTCATTTCAGCACGCCTAGACAGGGCCTTAATATACGGGTATATATTTGTTAAGGGCGAAATTGCTCCTTTTTAAGATTGCTGCGTGGTCCTAGTCAATAATATTTTCACATTTTTCTAGTACTCATGACCAAAAAAAATTAATTATAAAGCCAATGACTCCAATTTCTGATCAATTAGGGGCTGAAACACACAATAAAATGGATTCAGGAGGTGATTTGCAAATTTCTGAATTTTTGGTGGTTAAATCACAACATTAGGAAAGCTTAGGAACCAAAGTGAGTTGTGAAAACTGCTACATTTGATTAAGGGGCTGATTTGAATACCAAGGATCAATTAGAGATTGATTCAGCAAGTCTGATAAGTCCAGGGCGGCAATTGCAAAGCTTGGGAAATGTAGGGACCGAATTGTCATTTTTGACACACTAACTCGGTGGATGTCTATAAAATTCGATGGTTCTCGACGAAAAATCATCATTTCACCAATCATTTACTAGAGATTACGTATAACATTCATTTCGAAATTCCATTCTTTCCTTCATACATTCTACTTTTCAAATTCAAAGTTCATCCACAATATTGAACCACAGATTTATTTCAACTACAATTTCGAACCAACAATTCTAATATCGACATATTAAAGCATTTATTTTCGACATTGGTTGTCCCAACAACTAGAAAACACATGAAAACACGAACATTCAAAATCACCAAAAAAATGAAATAAAAATTTATGTTTTAGATAAGCTATTTGAGTGTAAGATTCTAAAATCAAGAGTCGACTGGAAATTTAAAAATTTCTTCAACTGAGTCGAGAGTTGAGAAATTTCAATCAGCCATTGTTAAGAATCATCAACAAATAAGGAAAATGCCACTTGTTGACATTACAAGTATTGTCAAGTGTTGATTTGACGAAAAAATTGTCTAATAGTTTATTGTCACTTGACAAAGTGTAAAAAAATAATATAAAGAATGATGTACGTGAATCATGATTGAATAAATTAATAGTGTTAAATTTTCCTTATTACAAATTATTAAAATAAATGATTGAACAAATATCTATTCCAATTGGTATAAATTATTTTAGTGTATTTTATTCTTTTATTTTTGTGCTTGATTATAAGTTTCAATTTGGCTAATAATCGATGAAAAAATGTTATTGATGTCTAGTTCTTAAAATTTACATATTTTTACTTTTGCTTCTTCCTATGAATTCTTATGAAATATTATGTGTGCAATTAAATAACATTAAAATTTAATAAATGGTTACATATTTTTACTTCTATTTTTTTTTTTTTTTGGTGTTCAGCCCCTTTCGTGTTGTACATTACCAACATTCACGTTGTACTTTAGGGTTCCTCGAACTGTGACCACACCTATACATTTTTAGATAAATATTCTCCAATAGCATGATCCATTTCTCCACCTTCCTTGACATCCATCATCGAGATGTAGCATCCTTCACTAGCATATTTAATTATGAGGAAATTACACTCAATCCTAATTTTAGATTTCCATTTTCACAAATCAAGAATCAAGTTTCATAATACAAAAATCAGGTTTTAATTAATAATTTAATCTTTATTTATTTATTTTTAATTTTATATTTTTATATCTATATACAATATAAATTAATTTATATACCTCCATACCATATCATCAAACCCTAAAATCAAACCCCTCTCCACTCTCTCTGGTTAAACGTCGCCGCCGCCTCCACGACAGCCGACGGTTCTTCCCATCGCCGGAGAAATAATTGCTGCTGCCTCGACCCTCTCCGTCGCGACGGCCAGTCCCATTATTCTCTCCTCCTGTCGCTCTCTTCTCCCTCTCCGCCGCGAAGGCGCAGCCGAAAAAGGGAAGGTAGGGTTTCTCTCATCCCTCTCTGCGTTCGTAAAAACCGTCGCCCAATCAATCGAAACCATCAGTCAATCGGAATCCTCCTCATAGCGGTGGCGGAAACTGAAAAATTCGAAACCTCCGTGGCCGTGGAGACTCCGAAGCCGATTAAACCTAACAGGCGCGCCGGATTTGTTAAAAAGGAAGAAGAAGAACGGATTGAAGCTTTGAAGAACGTTTTGTAAGTTGAATCAATTTCGCACACTACCTGGCTTCTTAGTTCTTGGCGTCTGGCCTTTCAAGTTTCTTCTTCTTCTTCTTCCTCTCACTATGATTTAAAGATTCTCACTAGGTGTTCGATTATTTGCTTGATTAATGGAATACACAGGAATGCATACTGCCCCCTATGCACTGGTAGTCTGGTATAGATAAACTTAGGAACTGCACAGTTTGCACAATTGCACTGGTAGTCTGATATAGATGAATTTAGGAACCTCTCTGCCTAACTGCCTCTCAGGCCTCCCGCCTCAGACTCTGCCTGTTGCGGTGCTTTGCTTGTTCAATGGTTATGGTCTCATGGACTCCAAAAAGGGTTGAACTCATCAAATTTTAAACTACATAGTGTAATCTTACGCTACCAAGTTTTTCTGTAACTTGCCATTTCTTGAATATTACAATTTTTTTTCTATATGCTTGATGGGCCAATACTATTGCAAAGCGAGTATTCTTTGGTGGAGAACGATTCCTTGTATGTATGTTTAAATCGAGGAGATGTTAATCCAAATGATTGGTGAAGGCTTCACGGGATTGTATGTCTGTTTAAATCGAGGAGATGTTAATCCAAATGATCAACAAATGTGAATTCATTGTCAATTTCACTTCTTTGAGCATATTTTTACTACTGACAGCTGAATTATAGTAGCTTTTGACAGTATACCTACTCACTAAATCATTTCTGCCGGTTAGCTGTATTATATATCAATTGGAATTGCCTCTTTCTTGCAGCATTCTAGAGACGCAGCTGGACATTCTTTAGTCTCTATAATTGTGGATCACACATTTCTCTGCATAAAGGATGCCGATTAGTTTTTGAGTCTTGAATTGCATGTAGCCTATGTTCCTTTTCCTCCTTGATTTCTACTTTTCGTGCTATTGCCCTGCACTAGTTTTCAATTATTATTTTCATGAACTATTTGGTTAGATTTTTTTGGAATTGTTATCTTTATTGTCTAATTTGAAATTATTTTTTACGGAATTGTGTTTCGCCCCCCGAACCATAATCCTTGGTCCGGCCCTGAATATAACTACCCTAATATATTACCCCTAATCAAAAGCTACCATGTGTCCTTAATAGAAATGACTCAATTGCATCCATGACCTTATTAGAAATGTATAAATACAGATAATTAAGAACATAATTTGAAATTATTTTTTACGGAATAGTGTTTCGCCCCCCGAACCATAATCCTTGGTCCGGCCCTGAATATAACTACCCTAATATATTACCCCAAATCAAAAGCTACCATGTGTCCTTAATAGAAATGATTCAATTGCATCCATGACCTTATTAGAAATGTATAAATACAGATAATTAAGAACAAGTAAAGAATTAGCTGCGAGAGACAGTGAAATTAATGGAAGGGGAAGTACAGAGAACGATCTTTGCGTTTTTCAGAAGAAGTTCATTATCTTTAGTTTTTAAAGTCTTTATACATAAATCTTCTGCTATAAATGTGAAGGGCATACAGTTTGTCAATTGTGTTAATTTTCAAATCATCACCTTTTTAGTTGTCTAAAGACCGGGTAAAATTGAAGCGGGGAACAGCTTGAGATTAATCTTCATAATGCATCAAGATATAGTCTTTACGTCGTTTTATATTTTTATCTGGACGGGGCTGTGATATTCAAATTGGAAAAAGGTGCCTGAGTTTTTTTAAAAGTTTCTTTTCTTCTGACAATTCTACTATGAAATTGTGGTACAAAAGTTTAGAACTTGCAATTTACCAGTTGGATACTCTTTTGTTCATCTGAAATATTGTATGTGTTTTGAGCTTTATTCTTGGTATTTTCGGCCTTAATATTTTAATTACAATATATAAATATACATTACATTTTGTTTGTCATTTTATTGCTGGATTTTGAGTTTATAGATTTAGTTTTAAAGCTCTTTTGAAGAATTTATTTTTTCTGAATGCACTATGATTGGAGGGCTCAATTTTTTCTGAATGCATTATGATTTGAGGGTCCAACAGTATTTTTTTCTTTTTTAATTCGGTGCTATAATTAATTTCGCTCCACATAGTATTTCTCTGCCCACCGAAACTATGCAAAATAATGCTTTATTTTTTCGCAAACATTTAGTACTGTGTAGGGTTGTTAAATGGCTTGCAGAGCTGGCATAGGCTAGCCTAGCGCGATCTGCTTGCTCAACAAAGTGCTGCTTGGCTTTTCATTTTTTTAACTGAAATTGCCTATTTCTCTTGCAAGCCATTAGCGAGCTGGCTTGCAAACCAGCCAATCAGCTAGCTTGCCCAAGCTGGCGAGTGGCTCACATGGTCAAATCACCGCTCTCAAGCCAAGCTAACACCACTGTGTGTGATGAGCATTTTCAATCAGCTTCCTC